AGTGAGCACGGACTTGAATCTTAGGAAACGCTTTACACAAGCAGCAAAGCTGTGCCTAACCTGAAAGGCCCACCCTACATTTTGGCTCTATTAGCATGCTTTTCAAGTTAAACAACCTTAACGATAAAAAAATAAAGAACAGAATGACTACTTTAAGCAATGTGGCATTTTTGGCTCTGATTTCAAACTTGCTTATGGTAACTGAGTTTTCATCTTAGAACTCAAAGCAGCAATATAGCTTTTCAGAGACAGTCTGCTTGCTGAATCTTCACTTGCAAAGAACATCAGTGAAGGTCTCATGGTGTTATTGTTAATAACAAAGAAATCACCACATTTTGATGATTCTCATTATAAATGCTAAGACTTAAAATAGAAGCATCAAACATAGCTCAAAATGTTTTAACAGAATTTAGCTTTAGCTCTCATTGAAATTTCTTCATAGTTTAAAAATTATACATTGAAATCACTTCAAAAACATAAAACTTTGAAAAATTGGAATGCTGCATAGGGAATATATTTCATATTATGAAATTAACATGTTGCATATTTCAAAGGTTTGATGATGTTCTGTGGACTGTCATTCATTAATTGATGGAAACTTTCAAGATTTCTGATCTTCTGGCCAGTCATTTACTGACAGTATCCTTTACCAGCATGGTTTGAATCCATTTCAAGGCATGATGTAGCAGCATAGCAATTGTAGGATGGTAAAACATACTGTCAGATCTTGCACACCAAGTGTTAAGTCTACAGTGATTTGGAAGAGAAGGAGTCCATGCTCTACAAACTAAGAAGGAATGGCAGAGCTGACCACTAGACTGTGATGCCATAACTGCTGGGTTTAGAGGCAGAACTGGGTTCTACTCTTGTGAGTATAAAGACAATTTGTTTTAATACATTTTCCATCTTATTTAAATTTGGATGAACAAATAAATATTTCTTAGCACATTAATACTTGGGAAAGTTTTCAAAGTGGTACAGGATGGTGATGAGTGCACACATTTTTACAGTTCAATATTACAACTCTCCAAGAGTTTCCTGGTTTCTATACCACACTCAGCATTTGAGAGGCAACCAGCCAACCACCTGAGTCGTCAAGTTGCCCAGTGATCAGCTGCCACTGCTGCAGTGCAAGGGACTTTGAATCCTTGATGATGACTACAGTTTGGCTTACTGGTTTCATTAATTCACAGAACCTGTGATGTTTGGTGATTTGAGTCTAAGGCAAAAATAAAGATTAAAAAGTGCTAAAATATTTATTTTAATCAAAGTTTTCTCTAAATGTGAGGTTTTTATTGTAGTGCGCATAATGGGATCCAAAAGTACCTGGAGCTTCAGCCTATATCAGCCTGCCAATTAATTCTTGTTCAAGGAAAGTCCATGAGTAATTGGTGTGATATAAAAATTCCAGTGTTTTATACCCCCTTAATCTCAGGTGAATCATTTTTCTTAAACACATTGCAATAGCATTTATTGAGGTAGGTACTCTGCATACATGAAATTGTCCAATCCTACTAACACCATAAGGAATATATTCTATGTTTTTTTTTGTTGTTGTTTTGTTTTGTTTTTTGAGATGGGATCTTTCTCTGTCACCCAGGCTGCAGTGCAGTGGCACAATCATAGCTCACTATGGGTAGGCAGCTTTGAACTCCTGGGCTCAAGCAATCCTCCCGAAGTGCTTGGGGTTACAGGTGTGAGCCACCATGCCTGGCCAGAAATATATTCTGTTACCACCATTATAGACAGGAGGAAACATTTTCAGAGTCACTCAACAAATAGGAATTAGAGTCAGTATTAAGGCACGAGTTGTCTTCTTGTCAAGTACAAACCCTTTCTTCTGCTCATGCCATATTTTTAAACCTAGTTAAAAATCGTAAAAACAACAACCACCCAGATTGAAGCAGTGGGAACAAAAAGGCAGAAAAGTGGTGTTTCAGTGACTTTTCTTGCATTATCTTTCAGGCCTATGATATTATTTTCACTGATTTTTATTATTTGTGTGTATGTATAGTTGAGCATCTGTTATGTGTAAGGCACTGTGCCAGGAGCTACACAGGATGAAAAAGATAAAACAGGGTGCAATTCTTTGTATCACTTGAGACCGACGGTGACAGTGAACCGTGAGCCTCAGGGAGTGTACCCCCAGTTGGGGAGACGGGAGTGGCAAGTCACGGTGACCGTAGAGGCGGCAGTACCAGAGAGAAACACAATGCACGCCAGTTCAGGGTAGGCAGGAGGCATAATCAGTTGGCAGGATTAGGAGAGGACTTCAAAGTGGAGGTGCCTTGAAACTGAACGTTAAAAGAGTTGAAAAGAGGACACTCTGGGTGGAGGAGAGTGTAGCTGGAGATAGGTAGATGGGAAACCATGAAGTGTTTTGATAAAACAGAGGTCTTCTGGTTTGGGCAAAGTGCAGAATACTGGAAGATAAGGCTAATTTAGATTCAGTAGATAGGTTAAGAAGATGAGGTCGATTTTGAAGAAAAAGAAAACCTTTAAAGCTTTTAATATAATATGGATGTGAAGGCTTAGAGCTCTAGTTTAGGAAGATGAACTCAACATATGAATAGTATATTCTTTCAAGTCTAGGAGTCGAGAGAATACTGGTGCCATTGATGAAAAATGGGAAATCAGGAGTAAGTTGATTTGCCCCCCTCCACCAAATTCAGATTTATATCTATTTAATTTGAAGAAATACGGAAATATTGGACTGGACCTTTAGAAGAAAGGGCAGGGAGTTTGTATCAGTTTGTCAGCTGCATATGTAAGTGCAGATATGAAGATGATGAGGCTGAAAAGGGAAGGGACAAGCACAGATCTCAGGAATGTCCACAAGGAGCTGGCTGGCAGGAAAGAGAGGCTAGACGGGGAAGAGGGAAGAAGCAGTCAGGAAGACAGCGGCGAAGCAGGAGAATGCAGTGTTTGCAGTAAGAGGAGAGGACTGCAGGAAGTAAAGTTGACTCATCCAACTGTAAGCTTCTTGGGAGCTCACCAGCTGCTGAGGTGATGTAAGACGATCCATTTATTTCAATATTCCGCTCAGCAGATGTGGTACGGTGCTTCACACACGCTTGGGGCTCAGTAAATGTTGACTAGAAATCTATACAAAGTTTGAGAAGTGTGAAGACAAAAAATAACCATTTTTTTTTAAGATCAGGAGATTCTTGGTAATTGCTCCTGTATCATGAATTTCCAGCTTTTCTGTTTCAAGGAATATAAAGAACAAAGATCTCCTTTGTATTAAGGAACATACAACATTGTCTCTAGGCCATGTGCTCTGTTGGACCACAAATGTAAAAATGTCTGCTTTTTAGCTCAATTATACCAGATGCCAACTCATATATCGCTGAGACCACTCTTGCTTGTTAAATCTGACAAAATAGAATGAAACCCTGCAAACTTGAGAGGCCTGACTCTGTGATACATGTTCAAATGATAAGATGATTGACTGGACTAATTATTAATTATTGAGTGGGACTCTAGTAATGTGCCAGTATCTTTCGACTTTTATATCTTTTTGCCATAAGGGATCCATGGTCAACCAGGGGGTTGTCTGTGGTATAATAAAATATATATATTTGGAAAAAAAAATGTCTGCTTTTGTGATATTATATATTATCGCTCAGCACTCTGCTGGTATGTATGAATGCATGTTTGAGAAAGTGTGTGATAGCAAGAAGGCAGCGACCACCAAGCTGTCCATGTCCCATCCAAGTACTAACCAGGCCTGACCCTGCTTAGCTTCCAAGATCAGATGAGACTGGGTACATTCAGGGTGGTATGGCTATAGACTAGCTCTAGAATAGATAAATCCAGTGTGGTGGGTACACACGATCAAAGAGTAAGCAGCTGTAACAGGCATTAGATGCACATATGGTAACATAACTGTCTTGTAAACATAATGTCCAGTGGAAATAAATAGGAAACAGAAATAAGAAGTATAAAAAATAAGTAAAAAAAAAAAAACAGAAATAAGAGCCATAGCATAATAAAATCTATGTAAATAAAAACACACTCAAAATAACCCTGTTCAGCAAAACACAAGGACACACACACAGCCAAAGTCACATTCATTAGAGTGATGTCTCCCAGGGCGGTGAGGGAATAAACATGGGAATCAGGAGAAAAGGGGAAATAAAGCAAGAGAAGGACCTTGAAAAGATCAATGATGAGGCTGTAATTAATTCATACTTTGCCCTAGACATCAAAAGAACAAAGGAAATATGTGATGGAGGCATTTTTGCAAATCTCAAAAAATTAAATGCAACAAAAAGGGTCACACAATGACTGAGGAATACTATACAGGTGTTACATTTATTATGATCATTGGCAAACAAATACATTATCTATAGTAAAATTCATGCATATCATAAGGTCTACTAATTTGGTCTCTAACTATATGGCTTACAGTGACACCAGGTGTGTTGAAAGCAGCAAAAAGGACGGTGCTATTCATCATTGCAGGGACAGACAAGCACAAAGGGTGCCACCCACAGGTTCTTCCAACACAAAGAAGCTTTCCAACTGGTAGAACTCAATACTTGGGACTGTCATCTAAGGTATTACTAACACTTGAGACGATTTTTCTAAGGTATAACAGATTATACCATTATCAAGCAGGAATTCAGTACTGACATTTGCATTCTAGCTTAATAGTTGCGTTTTATTACTCCTTATCATTAAAAATGTGTGTCCTAGCAAACTAGTTTTCTACCCATTCAAATAATGAGGTTACCTCTCATTAAACTCCAACTTGAATATGTCTGCAAGGATATTCCCAATACATAGTAATTGGCAGAAAATATGAAAAAGAGAGAAAAAGATGGTTTAAACTTTTATATAGAATTGAGGAACCACAATTTCACATGTAGTGAAATCAATCAGATTTCTGTTTCTTTCTCATTCTTTTCGAATTGGAAATTAGACCCAGCAGGTCATGCAGCCCCCCTCCCCGCCCCCGCCATCGGAAGCCCCATGAAAGCTGTTGGTAACTAGTGCTAGGGCTGGTGTGTTTTTGCCTTTACTGCTCTCAACACACAATTCCATTTGCTATTCCTTTGTTCCAGCTGCTCTTTCTTAAACTTGTCTTGAAAAGAACAATGGTTATCTTCATCCTCTGCCTCAGAGATGATCTCCATTTTCTGAATGATGAGTTTAATGAGCTCATGCTGTTTTTCCAGAAGAACAGTGAGATCCTTCAGCCTAAAAAAACAGACACACTTCGTGAATATCCTTTCAATTCCTCTTTTAGCCCTTCTGAGTGCAGGCAGGCGTAGGTGCTAGAAGTGTTCTACATCAGCTTATTTGTGCTCACATTACAGCCTTGTGGTAGTCATAATCCTTCCGGGGAACACTTATTTTTGAAGTTTAAGTGATTTTCCAAAGTTACACTGTTAAAGGCTAAGTTTATTTTTTTCCCCCCATCTACAAACAAGAGACTACTATACGGAAAGGTTAAGCAGCTTGTCCAGGGTAACAGAGTTAGTAAGTACCTAGTCAAATAGGGGTTTAAACTCAAGTAAACTAACCCTAAAGCCCACAGGCTTAACTATGTCAATGACATAGTTACTCCAGGGATCCTGTAAAGCTTTCAGAGCTTTGCTCTATGAACTCAGATGGCTCATGAAGCATGCAGTTTACAATACTGCTCACAAGAGAAAGGAAACCAGCATTTAAATTTTCATTCACTTATTATTGGAAGGCAAACTGATTGCTGAGTAGTGGCAAATAAGCTTTTGGATCTGAAAAATGTCTCATGACTCTCAATACACTAGCTACATCAGTCAATAAAACTTGGCTTAATATATAAAATAAGTAAACACCAATATACAATATCACCTTATACTATGTATTATTTAAGAGTTTTAAATTTCTCAAATACAGATGGAAGGAAAAATACATACCGGTATTTCTGTTTCAATATTTCCATTTCCAAAGATGTATCGGCATTTGGCATTTCTTGTCTTTTTTCTTGGTTGAAAAACAGATAACAAAATAAATTCTGTGGGATAAAACAAAATAATTACTCAAATTGAATTAAATTCAGAAGTTATTTCTTGAGTATGTGCCAAAATTCAACCAGGCTCACTAGCACAAATATTCACAAGGCACAACTGTGGCCCTCAAAGAACCCACAGTTTTCCATGAGAAACATATATGTAAAGAGCTATAAAATTAAGTCATACATTAAAATACAGCATTAACATTAAAAATGTATGAATACATTAAAAATGTATGAGAAACATTAAAATGTACAAATAAAACAGAAGGAGTAAAATGGGGCATGGCGTTGTTCAGGAAGGGCCTTCACTGAATCATTTTATAAATTATCATGAAAAATGCCCATCATGGGAGGTGGTATTACATACAAAATTAGTTGTTAATTCTCTCAAGCTGCTCTGCACCATTATTCAACACAATTGAACCATGCAACAAAATTTCACAGGGAGAAACTTCTGAATTGTTATTTTAATAAATTTTGTTTTAATTTACTATGTTCAAAACCACAGGGGAGAGCCCAGGGGTGAGGTGAAATGACCAAGAATGAGGTGATTCTAGGAGTTCAGGCAAGAGATGAGGCTACTTGCACAGGCCACCCAGTCAAATGGACTCGAGCCTGGGGCTTGACTGTCTTGAGGGGACAAGGAGAGGGAGGGGACATGCCACGTGTGCCTCCTAGGTGGCTGGCTTGCATAGGCAAATGAATGGTGCTGGCATCGGTTGCAACAAGGAACTTTGGAGAAGGACTAGGACTTCTTCACTATTTTTCAGTAGGGGGTGTGAGCAGAGGGTGGGACATGGGAGCAGTGAAGACTGATCTCAAACATGCTGGCTTTGAGGCACTTTCAAGACATACAAGTAGAGATGTCAAGTAGGCAGCTGGGTATAGGGGCCTGGAACTCAAGGCTGAGCTCTAGGATAGAGAAATCAACTGCCGAGCACTCCGTGTTCAGGTAGTATTAGTGCAATCGGACACAGAGACAAGGTGGAGTTAGGATAAAGCCTAGACTGACACTTAGGTCAATTTTATCATTTTATGACTACATAAGGGAAAATTAACCTGCAAAGAACTCATGAAAAATAATGACAGACATGGGGGAAGCCCAGGCATGGTGAGGATTCGCACCAGGACTTCTGACTCTTCCTGTGGTTCCTTTTCCACTATAATGCAATGGCCTTGCTTAGTCTTTGATGGCTCTGTGTATTTTCTATAGTGGCCACGCCCTGTGTGTGTATGTACATGTGTGTTCTAGCTATACCCTTAGACATACAGATATATATACCTATATCTACTCATAAATGTAAGTGACATGTGACTAAGAAAAACAAATGCAGTCCCTGCACTATAAGAAAAGATACTGAAAGGCTATGGCTGGTCTGCCGCCCGTCTGTTCTCACAAGGCTGTGGCTTGCATTTAACACAGATGCTATGGATGAGCCCCCTGGAAGAGGAAAGCAAATGCCTCCCTCTTCCTGCCTATCACTTATTCATGTCCTTTAAAAAAACAAACAAACAAAAAATCACAAATATTTTTTTCCCACAGGCAGAGCAGACTCAAAGTCTGCAAAAGGGCCCCCTTAGGGATAACACAATGAATGAAGTCAAGCAGTAGCACCTTATTGATGGTATTTGTTATGTGTACTTACAAATAACCTCCCAGTAGATCTGGGTTTGTTGGGATAGACAATGGTGGATTTCTGATCCACTTTGCGTAGGAACCAGAGTGGCAGCTTCTTCTCCAAGCCGGTATGAAGTTCCACCTAAAGTGCATTTTGGATTTATTGATAGAATCATTAATTAGTATCTGGAATTCTTGTGCTGCACAGAAGCCATCATTAGTTCAGCAGGATGAGAACTGATTCCTACATCCTGACTTCTGCACAGCAGGTGGGCTGGCCAGGTGTCCTTAGCTCCTAGCTCATAGTCACTGGCCCCTGCCTTTCATCTCACCCACTGACAAAACAAGGGCAGTGATCGCTCGGCAGTCCAGGGGCAAGATGTTTAAAGAAGGAATTCAATTTAAGCCAGCAGGTGTTTATTGTTCAGGGACTGTGAGTAACACTGGAGATATAAAGGAGAAAAAGATAGTCATACTCTTGGGGTGTTACACTACTACGAAATGTGCACAACTTGGAAGTGTGCATGGTATGAATATATACATATAATTTACATATGTATATGAATGTATATGCACATATACCTAGGGTAGGAGACAGGAAGGAGTGCGTAACGGGGGGAAGACAAAGGTAAGCAGTGAAAGAACTAGAACTAGCATGCCTAAGAGGCTTTTAGACATTTTTCATGCTGTGCTGTCAGGTGCAACTTGGTTTATCCATGACCTATGTTGAATATAATTTCTATTTTTTTGGGATATAATATTTTATCTCATTTAATGTTTTTACCTTGAGTTTACATTTAATTTTTCATATTTTCTACTTTTTTGTTTGTGTTTGCCAGATTTATCTGGGACTCTTTTGTGTGTGTCTGTCGTTTAGATATGTTTATTATAATTACCATGTAGTGAGATTTGCTTTCTAATATAAGACCATATGCTTTTCAATACAAGAGCATTTACACGATTTATAGTCACAAATGGTGAGAAGGTAAGAACTTTCCTGATCACACTGCTTAAAATTGTACCCCCATCGCCCCACCCCCACATGACACTCTCCCTGACTGGCTTCCTTGCTATTTTTATAGCACTTACAACTATTTAACATACTGTATATTAGTTCCAGTTTCAAGAAAAGCTACATTTTCTTGTATTTTATTAGCAACATCAGTTAGTTGTTCTCTTTGATTTTCTATAATAATTTCCAAGATTTTATTTTTCCCTTGGGTCTTTACGGTAATATTCCTTTCCCCTTGCCACATGTATATTTTTGAGGTCACGTGTTATTACTCACTTATTCAAACTTGATTGGAAAGATTTATCCAAGCCCAGCGTTTGCCAACAGATAAAGTGCATGGTGTAGCTTAACCTGTTCACGATCTACATAGGAGCTGCCAGATTACCTCTCTCAGATATGGTCCTGGCAGAGGCTGACAAGCAGAGCTCCAAGTCCAATGTGGGTTCAGTGGGACCCACTGGGCATGGCTCTACAGGCCTATGGTAGCATCTTTACCTCCTCTGACTGGTGGGGTTTCCATGCTGAAGGGCAAGATGTACTCTGTGAATTTCATTTCCTAATTTGCAGTGAGGCTATAAATGTTTATGGGGTGTCTGCAGCTGCCAGCACTGTGCTGGAAAGTGGCCATGCCAATGTACCCCAAACAGCTCTCAGCCCCTCAAAATACTCACAACTCCTGCCCCAAGGAACTAAAAGTTCCTGTACTGAAACATCTCCCAGCACGTGCTATCACAGGGACCTCTCTGTCACCACATGTGCTCAAGACCATTCTGTGAGAGGACTAAATGACCCTGTAAAATAAGTGACTCAACCCTTTTTGCTCCCAGTTCTGTTGTGGGCTCAGACACAGGTTTCAGAATGGATGCAGACAGTTGCTTAAGAAACAACTCAGGGGAAACGGGAGAATGATGTCCTGGTTTTCTAGTAGATGCTGTTCTCGATCCAAAACAGGGAACAGGTAACATGGGGGTACTAGGCTTTGTGCTGTTCGGTTTCAGGGAGCAAAGTGAATACAATACAGGATCAGAGGATCATGCTTTCAACTCAACCACACTGACATTGTAGTTGTGTGGGCTTCCCCAAGACATTTTATCTGGTGTTGTTGCTTATATTATTATTTTTAATTTATTTTCCCTGGTATTTTAAAGAGTTTTCAGGACAGTTATGAGGGACTGCTGACATCCCTGCTGAGAGGTTTATACAGCACTCTCCTTACCACCTGCCTGGAGTCCTAAACTCCACCCTTGTTATAGTAATAACCTGCCATTAGAGCTTCCTTCCTCCAGTCTTTCCCCACTAAACCAAGATTATAGCAGATCATCTTAAATACCATTTTCATTTTATGAGAGCTGATAATAACTCTCCACTCATTAACAAAGTAACCCGAAGCACTTCATCATTTATTGCCCTTTCTTTCAAAGCTACGGTCTTTCTTTGCTGTTTTTCAATAAAACCCTCCATCATCTGGGGTCACCTTATCGCTCTCTAAAACGAACCATCCTTCTAGGCAAGATGGCCTCGTGACAGCACCTTAGCCACTTCCCCTAGTCGTGCTTTGTCCCTTTGCTCCTGTGGGGTCCCTCTTCCTGGACAGTCTCAGGCCCTTTTAAGTCCCAGCCATCTTTCAACACGGACTTAGCCCACACCTTCCATGTAGCATAACCTGAATTATTTTTGCATTTTTTTCTGTACCTGATAACAATTTAATTAATATGTTTTTGTTCCCTAAATGTTCCAAGCTCTCTATATAATACACAGCTCAGTCACAGATCAGAGTTTAGGAATAGTTCTAAGTTGATTTTTTTTTTATGAGCAAAAGCAGAGAAGTTTTTGAAAGCAAAGTACACTATTACAGAAAAGAAAAGTGTGGACTGATTCAGAAAGCAAAGTCTCCATGTTGATTTTTGATATCTCATTCTCTGAGTGTTTAGTTCGGGTGCTAAGCAGGCAGATTTTACTCGGTAAAATCAGGAACCACATCCATTTATTTTCTCTGGGTTCTCAAGCCAAGTTGTACTGCATTTTGCACATACCATGTACTGCAACACTGTTTTTGAACAAATAAATGCTAATGTGTAGATGAATGTATAACAGGAAAGAAACAATTGTGACCTGAGACCAAAAAAAAAAAAATGAAGAGGAGACAAGAGTGAAGAGAAAGTTGTATCTTTGCATGGATTTTTCTTTTTATGGAACAGACTGAAGTTTCTGAATGCATATATTCAACTGATCATCAGATATTCTTGAAGCATCAAATATTCCCAATCAAACTTGAAATTTAAAGACAATACAGTTAAGAGCAAAGAAATAACTTTGTGTTATATGCCAGGAAACCACCTTGCAAGATTCAATAGCCAAGGACCTATTCAGAAACCTTTGACTCTAGCAAATTTTACATCAAATTGTCTAGAAAAATGAGAGATGTCCCAAGAGAACAAAACCTCATGGATGTCGTTAAAACTTCCATATCAAACATGCCATGGGGACCCTGTAATTCCCTACCCCAAATATCAGGAGTTCCTTTGAACAGCTGGTCTGTGACAAGACTGAATACCTCACCCCAGGGAGGTTCTTGGTCCAGCTACCTGGTTAGCCACATGTTGACATAAAAAAGAGCCTCAGGCAATTTCTCAATTTCTCTACTGTGATTGTTCTAGGACATTTTCTTCACCATCTTTGATCATAGCAGGATACGAGAGAACATGCAAACAGGATGTTGTTCCTCAGGATTGAGAAAACATCCGTATTAAATAACTGTGTTCTCAGAAAATCAGCCATTCTTATATACAAATAATTATAATGATATTAATTTTAGTAAGTTTTCAACTTAACAATATTTTCAACTTACAATGGATTTATCAGGACACAACTCATCATAAGTTGAAGAGCATCTGTACTTGCCTGCATAGCGATTCTCTTCAGTGATGCATGTTTCTGGACCTCAGCGATGTCGCCAACTGCCAAACCAATCTGAAGTATGGCACAAAATTTAATCACTACAGCTATAATGGCCCACCTAAAAATGCACTTAAGGTCTGTCTTAGTCCATCTAAGCTGCTATAATAAAATAACTTACACACGGTAATTTATAAATGGCATAAATCTATTGCTCATGGTTCTGGAGGCTCGGAAGTCCAAAATCAAGGTACCAGCAGATTTGATATCTGACAAGGGCACTCATAGATGGTGGCTTGTATGTGTTCTCACATGGGAGAAGGTCAAAAGGGGGTAACAGCTCCCTTATACTTCCTCTCATAAAGGTGCTAATCCCATTCATGAGGACTCTGCCTTCATGGCTTAATCACCTCCCAAAGGGCCTACCTTCTGATACCATCTCTTTGGGAATGAGGTTTCTGTATACACATTTTGGAAGAGACATAAACGTTCAAACCATAGCAAGGTCTCTCTGGCTGAAGTGGGAGAGTGGGCATGCAATCTACTCACTAGTAATGGCTGCACAATGCTTTGCTAATGTACCTTGTAGAAAACTGCAAAGCCTCTATACCTTTGCAACAGTGATGGCCACATTGGGGTCCAGTAATCTTAAGTGTTATCATGAAAACTTAAGACACACAAATTAATCTGAAATTCATTTTAATTTATAATAAAAATACATTATTTTTGGAGAGGACAGGGGTGATCTGATGTCAAATGCTATTGTCAAATGATGTCAAATGCCACACTACATGGTTGGAAACTCCAAGAGTTTAGCAACTAAGGTAGAGGTAAGAGTGATTTGACAACATGGAAAAGTTAAAACATTAAACTAAGGATTGAGAGATTTTATATCTTACATATGTTCAGCAGAAAAAGGTACACTTTAGGGGCGAGAGAGGCTCTGGTGAAAAACCCATCTAGATATCCATGGCTAGAAAGAATCGGGTGAGGGGAAACTATTAGCCGAGTTCTACTCAATCTAATGAAATTAGCTCATTCCACTCACCCTTTCATTTATTTTTGAGGCACTTTTAGTCCCTGCCTATGCTGAGCTAGCATTCAGCACACTGCATCAGAGAGGAAAACCCAGTGCCTGCTCTCAAGGCACTCAAAGATGAATCAACTCCATGAGAGAAGGGCTCTTTCTCTGTCAAGGTCACCCACTGGATGCCCAGTGCTTAGCAAAGAGCAGGGCACATAGTAGGCATGCAAAATATTCACTGAATGATTGAACAGTGGGAGAGTGTATCCTAGGGCTTATAAACTAGCACTGAGAACGATATATAATCAGCAAATAGGTTTTACTGGGCAGGATAACGTTGTTTGGTTTTTAATTTGCAAGCCCTTACTTAGATGGGCGTTCTCACCAATTTACAGCAGCCCCCATCCCAACTAATCATCTCACACCTGCTGCTTCACACATTTAAGATATTTCCTGGGCTCTGAAGCTATCTCGGCTTATGAGCCACAGAAAAGATCAATTAACTCTGAATAGTATATAACATTTATTGAATGCTTATCACGTGCCAAGCACCGTCATTAGCTCATTTAATCTTGACAATAACCTAGGAAGTAGGTTTCATTATTATTATCTTTCTCTGATTTGTGTCTTCAAAACTATAACAATACAAGGAAAGGGCACCCAATTTAGACTAAGGTAATAGCGGTGGGGATTCGTAAAGGAAGGCTTCCCAGAAGAGATGATTCTTGAGCTGAGTTTTGAAAACTTAGAAAGAGTTAAACCCATCGTGGAGTTAACCCATGGTGGGAGGTTTTTCCAGGCAAAAGGAACAGACTGTGCGGAGTCCAGGAGGCATGAAAGAAAGCGTGGCACATGGAAGGAATGTGCATTTCTGGATGGGTCCTGGGAACAGTGGGGAGTTGGATGAGATCCAGATTGCAGGGACCCTTGCCTGGGGTGCTGATGGGTTTAGACTGGATGCAACCCTTTTAAGAGTCACAGATAAAAACTTTAAAAGAGCCACTAATAGACGCAGCTTTTTATTATCAGAACATCATTGTGGTGATGATTTGTAGGAAGAATTGCACAGAGAAGTGAGACAAGACAGAGATACCCTTCAGGCTACTGCAGCAATGTAGAGGAGGAGCCATGAGGTGAAGCCAACTGGAAATAGATGTAAGAGGCAAATAATTATCGAAAGAACGAAGGAAAAAGGGGGGAGGGTGGAGTTGAGAATATCTGCCAACGATGCAAATAGGAGATGGTACTGAGAGGCAGTAGCAGATTTCCAAGGGAAGATAATGCCAGTCTTGGCTCTGTTGGGTTTGATTTTGCTCCAGGACATGCAGGTAGAGATGCCTGGTGGGTGCTGTGCATGTGGATCCTCAGCATGGCGCCAACCTGTAGTGCTGCTAAGCCACACTCTCCTCTGGATAGTTATCTTCCAAAACGTAAGCAATTATAAAAGAAGAATGTGGGCTCTATGTCCTCCTCTATTATTCCTAGTGCCATCCTTTGTTTTTCTAGGTCACCAAAATAAAACTCGGGAGCTATATCAGATAAATAGATAAAAACACCTAGGAGTCTGTATTATTTTCTTCTTTCCAGAAACACTGCCTACCACAGATTCTGGTACAGGGTCAGACTCAGAGATAAGTGTGTTAAATGCGTGCGTGTATGCTGAAATGGATAAGGGAAAACCAGGCACCATAAAGTCAATAAGGGCTCCCCATAGACCTGCAATGGGATACACTTCTGCCTGCATTGGCCAACAAGCTCATGGCTCAAGCAGACTCTCTAGAGCCTTCCATGGGGAAGGGCACTCTCGTGTCTGCTGAGGGTGTCTAGACTTTGGGTTAGAAGTGGCATCTGAATGCTGCAGACGCCCTCTACATGAGAGACTCTTCCTTACCTGGATCTCTGGTCAACAATAAATTTGAGTATAGAGACAATCTACCGTCCATAAAGGTCTCTGCCTAGCCTCTGACCCCCTCCCCAATCCTAGTTCTTCATAGCATTTATCACCCCCATGACCGAGTACTGGTCTGTTTTGTTCACCACTGTTTCCCAGGACCTGCAACAGTGCCTGGCATTTGGTAGACTTTTGGTAAGTATTTGCCAAGTGAATGCATCGCTGCATCTCCTGAGCCTCTTGAGGTGCCTGATATTCCCCAGACACCAAGTGAATGCTGAATGAATGGATTTTGTAGTAACCCCTTCCCCATCCCACAGTGGAGGGATATTAAGGAAGTTAAGAATAATTATCATTATCAAATGTGCCAAATGATCAACAGGAACTACAGAGAAAAATTACTTACAAGTAAATTCACGAGGACAATTGGGACAAGGAGCGTGAAGATAATAAGGTGCACAAAGGACAGAAATGGATATGTCAATTCGTTTCTCAAAAATGGTTCTAGGAAGGCATCCCGGTAACTGATGTCTCCCAGCATCATGCTGAAGGTCTGGATTATGGCTAGCCACGGAGTGCTGAAGGTGTCCTGAAAACAGATGGGAAGGTAAAAGTGAAATGCGAAATGTATGTAATGAAAAAATGTTTCCTGGAGAGTAAAATGATAAAAATTATATTAAGAATACTTTTTAAAAGTCATAGGCATGTAGCTACTGAAATACAGTGATATGAAATATTAATAAACTGTGGCAAAGTCATAAAAGCTCTTTTCTACACAAATAACAAATCATTGTGTATTCTACATAAACTTTTTGACAATGGAAAAAGTCATTTAGTAAGATTATAGTTTTTTTCTGCAATAAAAATCATTTGAAAGATACATCAGATTAAAAAAACTAAAGTATTCAAATACTGTTGTATGATTATTAATTTTCTAGGCTATTGAGATTTAAGTATAAATATATATTTCTAATATTCACAGTGATGAAATCAATTACTGATGCGAGTGCCTTACCTGCATATTCAAGAGGACATAAAAGCTGAGTCCAAAAGCCACAAAAAGGAAGACAAATACAACTGTAGATCTAAACAGAGTTTTTAAAATTACCTCCAACATAACAATGAAAATTCCACAAGTTTCAAATCTAGGAAAATAAAAATAAATTTAAAGTAATTACTCACTTTTGTAGTCAAAGTGTATTTCATTCAGTGACAATAATTATCATGCATTAAATCAGGTACTGGATTTCACAGATGAGATAACTGAGGCCAATTATTTTAAAAAAGAAGACATGAGAATTCATGAAAAATCAAGTCTTATTTTCAAGCTCTTTATCAAATTACTTCTTTTCCCTCTTCTTGTTAATGTCTATTTTTAATCATTTTATCACTTGACCACTGGACATTACTTCAGCCAAAGTAGGAACGAAAAATCATAGCTTTCCAATATCAAAGAAGACGCTACCAAATGCTTAATACAGATATCAGAGAGATGAATTGTGCGAAGCATCAAGAAGAGATTGATGAAATGAGCTCATGTTCCTGCAGGCATCTATTGCAGGGCACATAACACATAATTTACATTCACCCATCCTCACGACCTCCTTTGATTTCCTTTTGTCCCCCCAGCACCCTACACTGTGAAATGTTTGGGTAGACAATGAGTGTGTCATCTGGCCACTAACTTGTACTTTTCCTTTGGCAAAGACAACTTGTTAAAAGGAGGAAACCGTAAGATTCTAAAGCTGAAAGAGACTCCAGTTAAGTACACAGGTAACTCGCCACCGATAATGAACCTGTCTTGAATCCTCATGACTTCTGGGTAGCTGCCCTTCCCACATACCAGGTCCTCTCTGAGAGGCCAGGCTCACCTTTGTGTCACTGTGCTTATGACACAGCAATACAGATAGTACAGTGGGAAAAGAATGATCCCTGGAGTAAGAAAGACTTTGGTTAAATACCTGTCTCTTGAGTGACAAGCTAAAATCTTGGGAAAGTTACTTAACTCAGTGCTTCAGCTTCCTTTCGAGTAATAACATTTGTCTCCTGTTATCGTAAAGATTACGTGAAATAACATTTAACTCAACATTAGCAATTGTCAGAGGTAGAGGAACTCAGCCTTTTTTCCCTCTCTAGAATTAGATTCTCTGGGCTTATTTTTTTCTTTTATACCTATGAGTTCATTTTGAGTATTTTAACACAAAGTAGATGCTTACAAAATAGTATCAGGTAAAAGAAGAACAGCCAACACTTTTATTCCTGCTTACTTCCTAGATTTAATCTAGGTTTATCTAGACCAGTTGGTCTTGACCTGGGCTCATTTGGCACCCAGGAGACATTTGGCAATGTCTGGATACATTTTTGGTTGTTACAACTGGGATGGTATGTATGCTACTGGTATCTAGTGGGTAAAAGCCAGGAAGGCAGTTAAACATTTTAAAATACACAAGACGGTCCCCCCACACAATAAAAAGAATTATCTAGCCCCAAATTTCAATAGTGCCAAAGTTGGGAAACCCTGGTCTACACTCTGAACTCAAGAACCACCCCACATCTTTCCTTAATAGGATATAACAAATACCTTCACATTTTAAAACAACTGGAAAAGGAAGCCACTTATAATAGTTTTTCTCTTGATATTAAAAATGCCTAAAGAATATAGAAATCATTCAAGTTGGTTTTACCTTTGAAGATACAACAAGAAGTTAATCCAGTAGAAGAATACAGCAATCGCTCCACATTGCCACTGCATAAAAGCTGGTATGTTAGCAAACAAGGGCAGCACAAAAATGATGCTTGCTGTGTAGATAATCCATTCAGTGAGATTATTAATATCCCGAAAGTAATTACTTTTCTGGGATTGAAAAGAATGAAAAATGACCACATATAAGAGACCTAGCATCTTATGGATGGTTATATATATGTAACCAGTAACTAAATTTTTCTGAAATTACAGCTATCAGGAGAGAAGTTTAGGACCAAGAAGTCACTTCCTGCCATCTTGCGTTGACTTCAGAGGCCCTTGGGTACAGATCAGTGTTGGAGATGGCGCAGAGACATCTGTTAACCTGGTACACCGGGAGTCTGATGCCTACGGAAATCCTACAAGTTGCTGGGCTTTTCCTGTAGAGTCCACTCCATGTTAAGGAAACTTCTGGGGAGTGCAAGTTGGTTTGGTAATTCCTGGGACCTTGCTGTCTGTATAAGAACATGCATGTGGAGCTCAGGATACATGAACTAAAGCTGCTTCTAAGGAAGTTTGAGACCTGTTCTGAGACTTAATTAGGAAATGAGAACAAATCGTAATGGACATATTTTGGACATTAAATTTCCCATAGAGTAGACCACTTAAATATCAAGAAGAAAATGTGGAGATCAAATCTGACACAGAATTCATACAACTTTATAGCACAATTTAAACTATAATCTGTAATTTTTATTCTGGGAAAAATGAAAATAATGGCAAGAGAGATTCAGTAATATGCCCTAAATCATTTAAGGTAACATGGAACAATATAGTCTAACTCTCAGAATTGGGACAATTTATTAATACTTAAAGTATATATATGAAAGTACTTATAAAATACAATATTAAATAAATGCAAAGCATTATTATCATCAAATTATTTACTGCAAATATCCATATGCTTACATGATGTAACAGAAAATTTTCATAGAAAATGAGATGTTGTATATGAGGTATATGACATATAATAACATTTACAAAAA